CACTCACTTGCAGTGATAAAAAAAAAAAAAAAAAAAAGGCAGTGATACACTTTCCCATCCATTTAGAAGAGACACAATAACATAAGGTATTCGTTATGTTTTAGTACCCATAGCAGACACAGCTTTTACATACAGCAAAAGGAGCTATACGCAATATATATAAAAGACGTTTTTAGTGAGCTGGGGATATAGATCAGTGGTAGAGTGCTTGCTTAGCATGAGTGAAATCATGGGTTTGATCCCCGGAACCACCCCCCCACAACTTTTCTACAGTGTAATAATCACTGTTGAAAATAATGAAATTTTAGTTATCCTTTTTAGGTTTAGGATCATAATGCCTTAGTAGTAACCAATTTACAGCTATGGCAGGAAGTAAATGAATGACACTATATACTTATGACTCAAAAATAGGGCATGGATCATTTTTTTAAGCCAACCTCATTGTAGATTTCTTCCCCCCAGTAAACCCTTGGTGTTTTAGCCTAAGTCTGAAGATAGAAAATAAGAACTTAATCTTTTAAGGATGACTGCTCTTTGTCAATTTAAGACAATCTGGCTGGGCATGGTAGTGCATGCCTATAATCCCAGTAGCTGGAAAGGCTGAGGCAGGAGGATCACAAGTTCAAAGCCAGTCTCAGCAAGTTAGCAAGGTCCTGTCTCAAAGTAAAAAAATAAAAAGGGGTTTATTTTTTGGCTCAGTGGTAAAGCACCCCTGGGTTCAATCCCCAGTACCAAAAAAAAAAGAAAAGAAAGAAAGAGAGATTCAAAAGTAAAAAGAAATTTTATGTGCTCAAGGTTCTACAACTGCTAAAGGTACAGCTTTAACAAGTTACTAAATGCCTACCTGTCTCATACTTCCCACAGAAGTTAGCACTGAACTTTTAAATGGGGGAAGACTGGATAACAAATAGGGCTTTGATCGGACAGACCAGAATCCTACTCCTAGTTAAGTTATCTACCTAAGTCATCTTCTGTAAATGAACTAACATCCCATTCATTTCAGAGTAGTCCTAAAGATTAAAAGATAATATATAATGCTTGGCATATAGTACAAACAAAGAAATATATTATTCCTCATCCAATATTTTAAAACAGTACCAATAAAGGCTTATCTCAAAGCAAAATTATTACTTGTAGACTTAGCAGAGCTGATGTGCTAAGCAGAATCAGGTGGGATATTGAAACATATGTGGAAGTTTCATAATTAGAATAGTTGGACTGCTTGGCATGATGAAAGGACCCTTGTACTACCTTAACCTCCTAACCATGGAACACAACCAGCACTGATGTCTAAGGCAACTTCCCAAGTAATTCAACTAATCATTTTCATGTTTGTAGGAATATGCTACTATTTCATAAATACTCCATTTACTTCACAAAATCTGCTTGTGAGGCTGGGTACAATGGCACATTGGCTGCAAGCCACTTGGGAGGCTGAGGCAGGAGAATTGCTAGTTCAAGGCCAGCCTCAGCAATTTGGCAAGGCCCTAAGCAATTTAATAAGATCCTATGTCAAAATTAAAAAAAAAAAAAAAAAAAAAGGTGGGGGGCTGGTGGTGCAGCTCAGTGGTAAAGTGCCCCTGGGTTCAATCCCTAGTAAAGGCAGGAGCAGTGTGGACCTGCTTGTAGTAACTTTGATTTCTCTGACAAGGCTATCCCTGGGTAGTTCTCAGGCCTACCTAGATCCAGCTACCTTAGCTTTTGACTCCCATGACTTTTCAGGAGAGCAATGAAAAGAAATGACCAAACCTCATTGGAAAAAAAAAAAAAAAGCCTTAATGGGAGACACAACCGAGAGCAAGCAAAGCACTACATTTTATAAGAGAATTCATATGCAAACAAGGGAAGAGATGACTGATGTGTCCCACCCCCCAGAAAGGGGTAAAATTTGAAAATAAATAAATAAATAACTTGAGTTCTGAGGAGGAGCAATGAAGAAGATTTTCATGCAATTTGATATCCCTGATTCAAAAATCCTGAAAAATTTTCCATTTATTTTACCTAGGTAAATGTATACTTGATAAAATCTTGTTCCACACAAAATAATTTGTTGATTTGGGTTCTAAATAGGCAACCAAAGTACAGAAATTTCTTCTACAACCAACCAAAAAGATCTTCTCATATCACTAATGGGACAATGTACTTCTGAATACTGATGTCCTAAGGAATAAGCCCCAAAGATGTCTATAGTACACCCTCAAAAGATGTAGTAGAAATAAGGAAAGCAGAAAATTCCAAAGGTTTCTGTAATGACCACAAAAAACAACTGGAGAAACCCTAAAGGCTTAACAACTCATTAATATCCTCCTCCCTGTCAAATAAAATTAAGAATTCAGTTAAGGGGCTCTGGACATAGCTCAGTGGTAGAGCATGTGCTAAGCATCTTGGAAGCCCTGGGCCCAATCTTGGCGGGGGGGGGGGGGGGGGGGGGGGGGTGTTGCACACACTCACACATACACTTTCACAAGCAAAAAGAAAGGAAAGAAGGAAAGAAAAAGAAGGGAGAAAATCAGCTACTGAATAACTTTTCTCAAAAAGTTACTGACATAGTCTTAGAAGTTACAGACTCTCAAAACAAAAAGGTGTTATTATGGAATTACTAATTACTAGAATACTGGGATTTACCAAAAAAAGGATTAGCACTATCACATTCAAGGTGCCAACATAAAGGGAGAAAAGAAGTACAGTTCTGAAAATTTTATCTAGCAATTGCAGTAGTATGCCATTTAATTATCTTTTTTTAATGAAATAAAATCTGAAAATAACATAAAATGAAGCAACATACAGTAAATTACTCTGGTGATTCGTAGAGGAAATAAAATCAGGGCTATTTCAGTCTTTCAACAACAAAGTCAACCTTTGATTAGCAATTATGCACAACAATAAATAATTGTTCTGGGAACTCTTTTCAAAATAATGAGAATAGTACACTGATAATCTGAATTTGAAGAAGCTGGAACTCTGTCTAGGCTCCATACACATTTTTACTGTTCAGAATATATTCCTGGCCATTCCTGCTGAAGACAAAGGTAAAGCAATTATCTATGCCAGGCAAATTTCTATCTATGCCTACTGGATTTTTTGATTATAACATAACAGTTACTGGACAGAAATTGTTTCATTTTAAAAGGTTTCCTTCGGGCTGGAGTTGTGGCTCTGAGGTAGAGTGCTTGCCTAGCACACATGAGACAGTAGGTTGATCCTCAGTACCACATAAAAATAAATAAATAAAATAAAGTTATGGTGTCCACTTACATCTAAAAAAAAAGTTTCCTGCTACAATCTGAAGGCAAGATATATTTTAAAGTTGACCATTTTGCTTCAGATGTGACATTAAACAACTCAAGAACCCTAGTGAAGGACAGAAAATAATGGACAATAAAAAGGCAAATAAACAAAAACAAATGTTACCTATACAACAGCTTAATGAGAATCTTCAGAGATTAACATACTTTGTAGCTTAAATTTTAAATGTCAGTAACTACGTAGCTTAAATTTTAAACATCACTTAGCCACTGGGATGGCGGAAGCAGGAGGATCGCAAGCTCCAGTACTATCACATTTAAGGTGCCAACATAAAGGGAGAAAAGAAGCACAGTTCTGAAAATTATTACCTAGCAATTGCAGTAGTATGCCATTTAATTATCTGGTAACCTGGCAAGAACTCAGCAACTTAGAAAGACTTTGTCTCAAAACATAAAAAAAGGACTAAAGATTAGCTCAATAATAAAGTGCCCCTGTGTTCAATCCGCAGTACAAAATCTGCACACATACATAAATAAAAATAAAAAGAACTAGCAATATAGCCCAGTGGTAAACTGTCCCTGTGTTCAATTCCCAGAGGGGAGGGGGAAAAATTTAAACTTCAATAACTACAAAAAAGATGGAGGGTTGGGGTTGTGGCTCAGCGGTAGAGCGCTCACCTAGCACATGAGAGGCTCTGGGTTCGATTCTCAGCACCACATAAAAATAAGTAAGATAAAAGTATTTAAAAAAAAAAAAAGGTGGGATTCACTTTGCCAAACAAATACAAAGAAAAATTTAAAGGCAATGGGAAATAGAATTAGAAAAACAAACAAAAGAGCTAAATTATGACTTCATTAACACACACATAAACAAACTAAGATGTTAAAGGGAAAAAGGTTACCCATATCCAGGACAAAGTTTTGAATGCACTAAATGGTTAAATAAACTTTTAAGTAATAGAAAACTGTTCATTCAACAACTTTGTTGCATATAAATACTACTTAGAGAGTAGGTACAGAAGGAACTACATCTTGAAAATTGGGGTCTCTATATCCTTACAAGTTCTCAGCTATAGAGGCAAAAGGGGACAATATCAGTGGACTGCAACAAAAACCAAAGTGAACAGAATCATAACAAAATAATGAAGATTATAAACTCTATGAAGCAAAAAAAATAAATAAATTGTTTATTTATTAAAGATGGCTGGGGATATAGTTTAGTCGGTAGAGTGCTTGCCTTGAAGACACAAGGCCATGGGTTCAATCCCCAACACCACACACACAAAAAAATTCATTAAAGAGTACTTCCTCAATTTTATTCACTCAATTTTAAATTGAGTGACAGGAAACATAATAATCTACCAATGAATTAAACGCTGTAAGTAAAACAATAAATACCACGGTGGTCACAATAGTGCAAGGACAGGTCACACAAAGACCTGCAGATAAGGGACTTGCTTAAATGCAAGTACAGAAGGACAGTAACTTTTAGGGTTGAGGGTGGAGGTCCCAGAGAAATGTCTGTCTTCTGTTTTTCTCCCAGATATTAGACTCAATGTAACCTCAGAAGATAGCTTAACTCTTCCAGAGCTGTGGACAAACAATATTACTAAAGCATTTTAACATTCATCTGAATGTTACAGTCCTTTCAAAAATGAGAACATTCAATTTCATTCTTTCAGTAAGCAAGTATAGTTTTGGCACTCACAAATTAATATTAAATGGTAGTATTGCATTAAAAAAAAAAAAAATCACCTGGGGCTGGGGATGTGGCTCAAGCGGTAGCGCGCTCGCCTGGCATGAGTGCGGCCCGGGTTCGATCCTCAGCACCACATACAAACAAAGATGTTGTGTCCGCCGAAAACTAAAAAATAAATATTAAAAAAAATTCTCTCTCTCTCTTTCTCTCTCTCTCTTTAAAAAAAAAAAATCACCTTTTCACAGAAGTATTCAATGGTATATTTTAAAAACTGCCTTCACCATCCTCTGTTACCTATCAGAAACACCATGCTTCATATAAAATATTAATTTTTTCCTGTTATAATCAAACTTCTGGAATAGTGGGTCCTACAATTACAAGATGTCTCTACCTCATCATTCAGGGATGATAAAGCAAAGGTGTTCCTAGGAAATGCCAGGTCTGTGTTTCCTGGTGATTCACAACCACCTGAATGAACACATTTTCCATCCATATCTAAATAAATTTTGTTGGGCTGGGGATGTAGCTCAGTGGTAGAGTACTTGCCTAGAATGCTCTAGGCCCTGGATTTGAACCCCAGCACCCTCACACCCCAAGAAAGAATCTGTTGCCAGGGGCAGTGGTGCACACCTATAATCCCAATGAACCCAGGAAGCTGAAAAAGGAGGATCATGAGTTCAAAGACAGCCTCAGCAATGTGCTAAGCAACTCAGTGAGACCCTATCTCAAAATACAAAATTGGGCTGGAGATGTGGCTTGGTGGTCAAGTGCCCGAGTTCAATCCCCAGTAGCGCCCCCCCCCCCCCCCAAAAAAAGAAAAGACTTTGTCAATTTAAGAACTGACAAAATCTGGGCTGGAGATTCAACTCAGTTGGTAGAGTGCTTGCTTCACATGCATAAGGCCCTGGGTTCAATCCCCAGCACCACCACCAAAAAAAAAAAAAAAAAAAAAAGAACTGGCAAATTCAACAGGCCAGATTCACAAGACAGATCAGATTAAGCAAAGGTAATGTATGACCTGTGCACCTATACACTGGTCCATCAAATTACTTATCCCAAACCAATCCACCAATCCTTGCTATTTCCATTTTAAGCCTCCGGAGCCTGCCTCATTTTGTGGGAATTGGGGGTGCTGGGATTGATCCCAGATATTCACACAAGCTAAACACATGTTCTACCATTAGCTACACTCCAGTTCCTCATACAGCCTGTCTTTTCAAGGAACGTGCTTACTCTGTTTTTGGCCAATGTCCTTTGCCTTGCCTTTCAGACCCACTGGCATGCTACTCCGGCAACAAAAAGTCTTCTTAAATATAAAATGTTGTTTTTCTTACATTTTTTTAAAGTATTGAAATAATTCCAAAATTGTTCCCACTCTGACACCACGAAATTGACTGCAACTTGTTCTGGAACCTACTGGGGTGACTATTCAAAAGAAATACGTAAGCAGAACAAATTACTTAAGACATTATCCAAATCAAAACTCACTTTCCAGTACCTAATATGCTCCACACCAGTTGGGACCTCAGCTGAGGATAATGCAGTCAGGGAATCCTTGACTGAGTTGACAAACTCAGAAAAACAGAGATACATGATCTGTGAATGCTGATGTGATGGTGGGATGCAACAAACACTGATAATGCAGTTCCCAAGCCTTGTGTCTGAGACTTTCCAGTGCCTATTCTTCAAAAGAGAACGCCATAGAGTTCTAATGTTTTTACTTCTAGCTCACTTTGTACGTTCATCAAAACGCGACCGGTCCACTACATACCTCTTCTGTTAAGACCTTAATTACTTCACGACTGCCCCTTAAAAAGAGGCGGCTGCATTTGCACATCTGCGATGGCAGGGAAATTCCCTGCGACACTACAGACAGGTAAATAAAGAGATTGCATTCGCTATGAGGTAGGGGGAGTGGTCCTCTGCCACTGATGAGTTTATATAATGCAACAGAAATCCAGTGAGCTCTGCAGACCTGTCAAAGGAGATACAAGGCTTGAGCTCTCCTTTCCCACCACCTCTACACACGCTCCAACACCCTGCTCTTCACTAGGAGAAGACACACGGAAATTACACCTAAGAGTGAATAACAATCTGCATACGCTCTCTATACTTTCCTATCCACTTTTATTATTAAATAAAAGAGAGAGAAAGGAAGGAAAGAAGGTAGGTAGGTAGAAGCTTTAACCTCCCACTTGAGCCCAAAGTATGAAGTAAGCAAACGGAGCCGGGGAGTTTTTCCTACTCTGAAGGGGGAAGAAGAACAAGGAGCTGCCTCTAATCTACACCACGCCCAGTAATGCAATGACAAGCTCTTAAAACTCCATGGTGGCCCAAGCAGCCCCCTTCGCAGCGTGGCCCTGCTCGGACCCCGCGGCCCAGCAGCCGCCCTCTCCCCCGGCCTCTCACAAAGGAGAATGGTTCAGTCCAGACCATCACCCAGCACCTGATCCCTTACAACTGGGGGACGGGGAGGGGGCGCGAGGGAGAGGAGGGAGGATAAGTTCCTGAAGCCATTCTGAGAGTCAGAGCTTTTGGAAAGACTCTTGGGCCAGCACTGAGGAGCAGGCGTGAGCGGGAAGCCTACCTGAACAAGTCCTGGTGCTTCCTTCCCAGTCAGCGTTTCAACTCACCGTCTTGGAGAACAAGGCGCCTTCCGGCGGAGCATGGCCAGCCCTCGCCTCAATCTAGCTTGCTAGTAGTCCATTCTCCCTGGGGTCCGCCCACCTTCGCTCCCACCCACCAATGGCGGGGCCGAAGCCCGGCCTCTTCCAGCGGGGTAGTGTGAACGCCATCCAGGAAGTCTCTTGAGGTGGGAGGTCCTAAAAGGCTGAGAACGGTACGTAGGCAACCACAGATATGCCTGATTGAAAATAAAATCTGGCGGCAGCTCGCCTCCGACGGCTCAGTTCGCAGGTGAACGGGCCTCTCGGCATCTTTTTGACCCTCTCCGTTGGGGGCGCTCTAAACTTACACATGTAGTTACCTGTTTCAGGGAAGCCATCTTGGATCGTGCCGGCGTCAGGCGGGCGGGGAGGGGAGGGAGAATTTTCGGCTTTCTGTCCGACTATGTCTGTCCAGCCCCAACATATTCTCCTACAGATAGGCTTTCCCTCAGTCATGAAGAGGAACTCTGCAATAATACTGAATGTGAATAAAAGCAACCACCACCACCCTCTAGCATAACTGCAGGATTGATGAGGTTTTACCAAATCAGAAAAACCAAAATCAATTCTTGAAATTAAAGTCGGTATTACCACTTCTTAGGGAAATCCTTTATAATCAATTCTTCAAAATATCAGCGCATCACCAACACAGATAGCTTCCAATTTTTATACTTCACTTGTTTTATTTATTTATTTATTTATTTATTGGTACTGGGGATTTAACCTTTTTCAAACAGGGTCTAGCTGGATTTTAGATACTCTGGCCTTGGCCTCCAGAGTTGCTGATATTACAAGAGTGCCCCCACGATGCCGGCTTAATTTATGTTTTTCATTATTCTGACTTTGAAAGCAGAGTACTCAGAAATACTAAAATTTGAGGTATAGTTCCATTAAAAAAAAAAAAAGTCTTATAATTGATCAACAGATCCAAACAAATACATTCAGTGCTAACTATGAACTTATGAGAATTATATGTAAGGAGGAAGGACCATTAGGAGGCAATCTTAGAAACAACGCCACTTTTAAATAACTGCATAAATGTTGAAAAAAGAAATAATTTTATTGAAGGTGAAATTGTACTCGATGAGAAAGATCTGATTTTCCCAATCTTACTCTCTATAGCTATTTGCATTTTACTACATAAATTTTGAAGGGATTCCTTCCAGATCATTAGAGGAATTTCTCAAGTAGTAACATAATTGCATATCCATACATGTTAAGAAGTCATCTTAGGGCAGGCACTGAAGCATAGGCCTCTCTCTAATCCTAGCAATTATGGAGGCTAAGGCAGGAAGACTCCCAAATTTCAAACCAACCTAGGTAACTTAGCAAGACCCTGGCTCAAAATAAATAATAAAAAGGGTTGGTGAAGGAGCTCAGTAGTAGAGTAAGTATCCTTGTATTCAATCCCCAGCACCAAAAAACAAAAACAAAACCCTTTCTTGTCTGCTGCTACCATTTTATCATATTTGAGGATGTGAGGTATTAGGATTTATCAAAACACTGTGTTGTTTATCTGTAAATGCATATACCTATATAATCTTAAATACCAATGGTTACCAAAATAAGAGCTTGTTATCCTTCCGGTTACTATCTGATATAGAAGAGGGCTGCCATCAAAGGATGGTATTATAGAAAGAGGAAAAAGGAGGTCCTGATTCAACAATTTCAGATATCTATACTGATTTTTTTTTTAAGATTTTTAAAAAGATGGACACAATCTTTATTTTTATTTGGTGTTGAGGATCGAACCCAGTGCCTCACATGTGCAAGGCAAGCGCTCTGACACTGAGCTATAATCCCAGCCCCTCTATACTGATCTTTTACTATAGATTGGTTTTCCAGCATCACTGGTAAACAATCAACACCCACATTATCTAATAAAATTCTGCACATGGAGGTGGAATATCCATTTTCTACAATTCTTCATGACCAACTGACTCACAACACGAGCACATCACAAATGTACTTTTGTTTACCATTTCTTTACACTTGGTGAAACACCCAAATACAGAAGCTTATAAGTTGAATAGCAGAACTGGATGTATAAGTTAGGATTTATAATTATGCTCTCAATTATCCAAATGGTATCAATGACTCTGAAAGCAGGAAGTCTTAGACAGAATGCTATCTTTGACCAAGGCTCTAATGCTTCCCAATTGCTAAAAGATACTTTGGTATGGTAAAGAAAAACTTCTGTAAAGAAACTACAATGTTAATTTAATTCTGTCCCTGGGGTAAGGGAACAGGCAGCTAACTCCAAATTCAACAGCCTCAATTGCTTTTTGGCAAGCACTCTATCACTGAGCTACATCCATAGCCCCCTCTCTATTCCTTTTTTTTTTTTTTTTAAGTACTTTTTTTTTAGTTGTAGATGGACAGAATATATTTATTTTTATGTGGTGCTGAGGATCAAACCCAGTACCTCACACATGCAAAGCAAGTACTCTCCTACTGAGCTACAATCCCAGCCCTCTGTTCCTTTTTGAATAAGTAAAAATTGAAAGAAGAAGAAAAAAAAAAAAAAAAAACCAAGCTGGGCATGGTAGTACATACCTATAATTCCAGCTACTTGAGAGGCTGAGGCAGGAGAATGGCAAATCTGAGGCCAGCCTGGGTGACTTAGTGAGATTATCTCAAAAATTTAAAAGGGTGGGGGCTATAGCTCAGTAGACAGCTCAGTGGAGACCCACTGGAGTCACTCCTTAGTACTGGGGAAAGAAAAAGCAATACCCAGAATTTTTTCCAACTTCCTGGTACAACACTGATTACTACTACTACTGGGAGCAAAAGGGGGTATAAAACAAATCTGAAGGAGGCGGCTTCTTCCATATATTTGATACCATACTCTAGGAGGAAGAGTTATCTACTTATGCTAGATATATAATCAGAAATGACACATGGAATATGAGCAACTTGAATACATGCATATATTTAATAATGAAACAATTCATTAACAACAAAAATTATAAAAATTCATGAGACCTCGGTGCTGTGGAAAAAAGTGAGATATCAAGGAAAATAAGCAACTGACCCAGAAGGTATGAGTGAAGTGAAGTGAAGCAAAGGCAAATATGGCTAGGATAGTATTATATGATCTGAAAAGGAGAAGGGCTGGAGAAGCAACCAGTTATCTGATTGCTTGGTAATGAGCAGCCTTAATGTATACTGCACAGAATAGAGGCTATGAGCCAAAGGAAGGCAGGAGAGGAAAAGAAGAATATATAACCCAGGGTAAACAGATGGAAGAGAGCAGGAATTACAGAGATGACTCTAAGGCCTTTTGTTTCCTCTAAAGTCTAAAATAAGTCAGAAGTTTTTAAGTGTGTCAGTCAAATTCTATAATCACATCATGAGTAGCACTAGGCACCTGTGAAGAAACGGTGAGGGAAGTGGTTTATAAAAATAAAGGGGTAATATGGATCCTGCTCTACAGAGCTTACAACCTATATGAGAAGACAAATTCTACACATAAAACTACTATAAAATGTATTTACAAAGTAACATACATACAAATAAATATACATATGAATAGCCAATATAGGAAAGCTAAGGGGTACTATGTCAATAATTGCTTAGAAGTCCCTAGGAGATCGCTGAAGGCTTCCTAAAGGAAAAACTGTTGGACTTTAAGTACAGTGTTAGTAGAGAGTAGGACATATGCAAAGGTACAGAAGTAGGAATAAATATACCATGTACAATAAGCAAATAAGCTTGATTAGAGTCCAAATATATCTAGTTAAGAAGTGAGTATGATGAAACAATAGAGATCAATTCAGTGAAGTACACTGCAATGTTACATCTGGTCCCTAAACAAAGTGAATACGAAATGAATGTTTTCTTTAGGTAAGGATAAGTGGCCACAGGTCCAGGACCAACTCCACTTCTCTCAAGTTTGGTAAGTAAGATACAGAAACCAGCAATGGGATAGTAGAGAAGCACTCAGCTTCCTTGAACAAGTAGAAGGAACTGCTTTCTGCAAGAACTTGTCCAAAGTGGACAAGTTGTGGCAAGTAGTCCCCCAAAAACAAAGAAGTTAAAAAACTCAATGAAAGTTCCTATGCAGCAGATCTACTATCCTAAGGCCAGCTAGATCCTGGTCATCTCAAGTGTTCAAGCAGAATATACTTGTCCCTTACTACTAATTCTTGATGGGGAGCATATTATATATGCTTATCAAATTGTTTATTTTTGAACTACCCTGACAATCAACTTTGATCCTAACATTTTAGAAATTAAAAAAGAAGTTGAAAAAAGCCCCAATCTATAGGGAAGGCTCACGTCCCTGAAGGAGGACAGGTCAGTAAGGGCTCAAATTCTTCCCTGTTCTTTTAAGTGGAAAAGCAAAATATCACACCTTGAAAAGAGGCTGCTCTCAGCCAAACCAAGTAAGACTTCTTTCTTTAAGCCTATTGATCTGAAGCTGTTCCAGGAAAGAAAGACAGGAGAAAAAAAAAAAAAAAAGAGTTCAGGTCAGATGTTCAGCAGCAGCCAGCGTCCGACCCTAGATCACGACAGTTCTGCTGAGAGGCGCTGGGTCCCAGTGATGTTGAAATTGACTGTTGGGGCCCAATCTTGATGCCATTTGCCTGTAAAAGAAAAAAAAAGGCACAAGTTCCCACCTTGGTGCTAAAGTGAATGGGAAAAAAGGAGCGGGGAGAAAGGGAGAAATCATTAATTATATCTAAAACCAGGTATGACCTTGGCAGGTAACAATTGCCATAGCCAAATTGTTAGGGTACATATAATCTCTGATGGTTAAGGATAAGATGACTAGCTGGGGTATAAAAATCTTAGCTGCCTGAAAGTGGTTTCTGTTCCATTTTTAAGGTGCACTGTTACACAGTTATATGTAGAATTAAGATATAATTAGCTAGGTAAGAGTAGAGGAGGCACAAGTATAGAAGTAGTATACGATTCTTTTTTTGTTTTGTCTCAGAATTTGCTTTACAGAAATGACCCTCCCAAGCTGGGCACCATAGCATATGTCTATAATCTGACAGAATTGG